GTGGTGGAGGGGCCTGTGCTGGGTTTCTTGGCCTCCAGTCCTGGAGGAAGTTCTGGCTGAGGTCAGGCCTGCAGAAAGAGCCTCGTCCCACCCTCCGGGGCCTCCCAGGCTCCCGTGGGTCCTGTCCTGGCAGCAGGCGGAGCTTTAGGGTGGGAGCTGGGGCCACAGCTGGCACCAGGGCTGAACCTCACAGCTCCATCTTTGGAGTGGAATGGTAGTTGAACTTCAAGGGGGATGTGAGCTGGCCAGGAACAGGCGGTGGACTTAGAGGGCCTACTTAGCAAAGTTTCTGTGGGGCAATCTGGGAGATGGAGGGGATCTCACCTCACCTGCCCCCTGCCTGGACCACCCAACCCAGACAGGGGTTCCTTCAGTCCCCCAGCATCTTTCCATCTTCCAAATTTGAGCTTAACGTGGTCCCTCAGTGCCAAATCATCCAGAAAGGACAGTCAGTAGGAGTCAGGGTCCCCCAAGTCGTTGGGGCAGAACCAGGCCTAGGTCCTAGGACAGCCACACTGAGGGTATACGTCCAGAGTAGGTCATCAGGGACCCCACCTGCCCTTTAAACTGTTTCCTGTCCCATCTAGGAGCAGCTACAGAAATTTGACACCCCAACCCTTGTGAGGCCTCTGTGGGCCTCCATCCTCAGCCTTAAAAAGAGAAGGCCCAGCTGTTCATCGTCACCTTCCCCCATGTTGACCCCAAGGACAGGTCCTGGGGAGCTCACCCACTCAGAACATTCCTCAGCCCCGAGTGATGCTGGGAGGGCAGACAAGGAAGTTGTTCAGGAAGGGAGAAAGCGCTGCTGGTCTGACAGAGGACACTCTGTCCCAGCCTGATGTGGGGAGTGGAGGCCTCAGCCTGAAAGAGTACCTGATGTGACCAGGGCCCTAGAAATGGATCTTCAAGCACTGAGTAGAGGGGGTGGTTGTCCCAGATGCTCACTTGTTTTTGTCCTTAAGAACACCAGGATCGGGCTAGCACACTGTCACCTGTTCCTCTCTTCTCGTTCTTTCCCTTCAAAAATTTCTTACATAAGCAAAAGAAAAGGTGTCGAGTAGCAGGTGGTACCAAGGAGCAGAGGGGTTCCTGGGAGCAGGGCTCAGGTGCAGGCAAGGTCCCTCGTCCACTCTCACTCACTCATTCATTTGCTCGTTCATGCATAAATAAGCAAGCATTTGCTGAGCACTCCACTGTGCCAGGGCGCATCTGGATGTCCATGCCAGGGGAGAGGCAGGCAGACCCAGGTTCACAGCCCCCATCTGCCAGGCCAGAGGACTGACAAAGTTCTCAGAACAATGAGAGGGAGCTCCTGCCAGTCACGGCAGCCCCAGCCCTAGCACGGCCTGGCACAGTCCACACTGAAGGAAGGAACAAGGGTCTGTGGGATCATAGAGGAGCACAACTGACTCAGGGTGAGGGTGAGGAGAGGCTTCCTGGAGGCAGTGGCCTTGAGCTGAGGGTAGACGGTGATAGACATTAGCCAGGCCATGAGGGGAGGGTGGAGGCGGAGAGAGGGAAGAGAAGAGAGGAGTTCCAGGCAGGAGGGACAGGAGTCACAAATAGCAGACTTCGGGAGGAGATATTTGGAGGTCCCTGGCCTTCAAAGTGCTGTCTGGTGATGAAATCCCATGTCTGGGTCTGGATCTCCCTCAGTTCCTGGGAAGAACAGGACCCAGCCACGCTGAGGATGCGGCTCACCCTCTGGCAGGATCATGGCGACCCTTCCTCAAGGGCTTCTGGAGGAATGGGTGGACAAGGCTGTGAGACTGGCCCTAGGAGTCTTCACCCAAGGATGGTTCTATCTGTCACCCTGCCCAGCAGTGCCTTCCTCCCATCTTCCACCTTCCTGGCATTTGGGGGACGCCCCATGGGGCCCCAGGCCTTCCCACATTGCTCTGACCTTGTTAGTCTGTGAGGGGACAGTGAGTTGTACTCTGAAAAAAGACCTCTCAGCCTCTGTACAGGCCCACCTAGCAAAGACCCCAGTCATCCTCATTTTATCAGTGGGGAAACTGAGGCCCCCAGAGTTAGGTCACATCCTTAAAGGTCTCAGGGCTGATTCCAGAGTGTTCCACTTTGCCCAAGTACTATCATCTTGGGCTATGGAAGCCAGTTGGCTTGGAGGAGGTGAGAGGGAAATGGGGAAGAGCTTGGACTTCAAGATGTGCCAGGCAGGAAGCATTCAGATCAACACAGGGGCTTGAACCTCTGTGGTTGGGGGCCGCACCATGATGGGTGGGCATATACCCAACCAGATACTTTTTGTTTCTCACACTCCCAGCCCAAGACAGTGGGAAGTAGAGAGGGCCCTGCAGTGCCTGTGGGAGGAACATCAGTCTGCTCCCCTGCTGCTGGCCTCTTCCCTGGAGGCAGAAGGAGCTGGCTCAGATCCAGAGTCCAGGTTGGAGCCAGAAGTCACATCCAGGGCCTGAGTCCCCAGTTCGGTATTCTGCCCACTTGCCTTGCTGCCCCCGCCCACCGAAGCAGCAAGCAAAGGCTTCTGGAAGGCGGGCTCCACCGTCTCCTTGGTTACTGTGCATTGGCTTCCGGGGGGGTGGGGAGCCCTCCCTACCTGGTACCACTTTATACTCTGACAACCTAGGGGACAGGAAAGAAACTGGAAATCTGAGGATTCTGGAGACTTCTTTGTCGTTTGCCTCCTCTGGAGAGAAAAGGATGCTGGATGACTGAACCTGGTGCTGGGGGCTTGGGAGCTGTGAGGCACTGACCACCTGCTAGGGTGGAGGGGGTATGTGTTAGGGGACCCAAGGGTCTCCTGGTGATGTCTGTTGAGAATGGAACTGCCATCTCAGAGGGGCCATGGCTGAAGAGCCCAGCTTCCATCTCTCCTAGCCCAGGGGGAGGGGTGAGCTGGTGATGAGGAGAGTCAGGTGCTCAGAGCAGCACCTCGGTACCCAGCAATATCCACTCTGCCCACCGATGCCTGCCTCAGCCCCAAATGGAGACACGAGGCTCTTGGAGGAGGTCTTCATGGCCCATCTGGCTCTGGTCAGCTGCTCTCACCAGCTGTGGCTGGTGTTCATTGGCTGCTTCAGCCACCAACCACCAGCCGGCTGTGCCTTTCCACCAATGGGGCTGACTTCTTGACTCCACTTCCGTGCCCAGGCTGGATCCAGGTTGGCACAAAGAGGCCTTGGCACCACCCTGCCCCCTGTAGGAAGCACGCAGGGCCATGCCAAGGAAACCATGCTCCTTCCAGTCCCTGGCAGCAAGGTACCCTGAGGGGTGGCAGCTGGTTTTGTTCTCTCATTCCAAAAACGCTGCCAAAAGAGCTTGTCCCAGACTCTGCCCCTCTCCCAGGACTCCCTGGCTTGGCCCTGGCCCTTGTAAGGGCGTTTCTTCCTTCCTCAACAAACGGCATCGAGACCCTACTAGATGCCAGGTTTTGTGAGGGTACAAAGCTGAATCCAACACCAGATTTTCCCTGGAGGTGCTCAAAGTCAAGTTGGTGCTGATGACTGCGGGTGGGGTGGGGGTGAGGGACAGACTTATAAACAGACAAATGCATTCAACAGTTCTGTGGAGGGGGTGGATGGAGGGAAGGGTCAGGGGGTGTGCAGAAAATTCTGGAATCTTTGCTCTGGCAGGGCCATCAGGAAGGAAAGCCCAACCCTCTCACTTTGTGGATGGGGAAACTGAGGCCAGAATGGGGAGATGACTTGGCCAGGGTCGCTCAGTGAGGTAGCGGCAGGCTCTCAGACCCCCAATTCCCAGCCAGGGCCCTTTTGACGGTGGTACCAGGTACCCTTTCTGGCTTTCTGTACCCGCCCTATCCTTGTGTCCTAACTCCGCTTTTGGAAAAACATTCGACGTCTCTATTCAGTGGTCACCCGAGAGGTGCCTGCTCAGGCCCGAGGAGCCAGGTGCTGCCAGTCCTTCCTCCGGAGGCGGCGTGGCCTCCTCTCGGCCTAGAATGGGGTGGTTGCGTTTTTCTCTCTCTCTCTCTATCTCTCTTGCATTTTTGTGAATCTAATGATGAACTTACGCTACCACACTTTTCCCTTCTCTTACACATCTTACCTACTAAAGGAGGAAGTGCCACTTTATTGGTAAGTGGACGTTAACCAAGAGGGACTTAAAAAAATCAGAACTTAAAAAAAAAAAGAAAAAGAAAAAGAAAAGAGAGAAACAGAAAGACAGTCGGGTGCTACTGACAGCTCCACAGGTCTCTGCAGGGCCGGAAAACAAAGATGTTAACAGAAGAAATGTCAGTTCCCCAGGAGTTCAGACATTGTTTTGATTTTGGTATCTAATGACATTTGTGGATTTGTTTTTTATTTCTGGTTTTGTTTTTTATTTCTGTTTTTCCTCCCTTTCTTCCGTTCAGTTTTGAGTTCAGTCGTCCTGCCCCGCCCCCACCCCCATCTGTGTGCCGTGTGCCCCCTCCATCCCCTCACCCACCCCCACGCGCTGGGGGGCCTGGCCTGGTGGGCTGGCCCTGGCCCGGCCTCCCCGTGCCCGCCCTCTCTCTTCTCTCTGCCGGGATCGTCCGTCCCATCGGGGGGCAATGTCAGCCCCCGAGCCGGTCCTGGAGCCCCTCCCTTTCTGCCCCCGCCCCCCACCGCTCCGCCCCTCTTGTGTTTTGCATGCCGAGAACCTTGCATGAGCTGCACTGTTGAGGCCAGAAGGTGGACACTCAGGAGAGGCAGAGGCAGGGCAGGCGCGGGGAACCGTGTGCGCGATGCTCCGGGACTGGCAGCCTCCGGCCCGGGCCCGGTGAAAGCCCCTTCTCCTTCTCTCCCCCCACCCCACCCGCCCACTCTCTCCCCTCAATCTCTCGCTCCTTCTCTTGGCCTGTCCTTTCTCTCTCTCTCCTCTTGTCCTCTGTCTCTGTCTCCTGCTTCTCTGACTTCTCCCTGTCTCTCTCCTCTCTCTCTCTGCATTCGCCATCTCTCTTTTCTGTCTCTGCTTCCATCTCTTCCATCTCCTCTCCCTCTCCGCCCCCTCCGTGCCCTCTCTGCCTCTCTCCCCGTCAGAAGCCCAGCTCGCCCTCGCCCAGGGCCCGCGACCAGGCGGAGGCGGGCGCGGCCACGCCGCCCGCGCGGGGGAAGGAGAGCCCGAGCCCGCGCTCGGCGCCGTC